TATAAATCATTCAAAGTGTAATCATTATCTGCAACTTTTGCTATCATGACTTGAGTACTAGGAGCATCTAATATGCCAAACTCAACACCATTAACAACTTTAATTGCTTGATCATTGTTAGTTTTAAAATAGTCTTTTAGCAAATCAGAATAAGTTGACCAAATTTGCTGTACTTCTCTATCTGCTATGAAAACTTTGACCAATAGGACAATGAAGTCAAAATTAAACCAGGAGACACGCTTTTCCAATACTCTAAATAACTGATTCATTGATTTAATACTGTCGTACTCTTCTCGTAATTTATCAATGAACTGTTCTTTGCGAAAATATGGGCTTAGTAGATGAATGATGTGGCACTGAATGAAATCAACTACTTTAGGAAGAGTGTTTCTTTCAAGAGAGCAAAATGCTTCTTTGGTTTTATACATGTTATCATTGTGTACCAGTTGTAGCTCATCAATCTGCTTCAATATATCATTAACAGGAAACTCTTTTGATTTTCCACTAGCATATGTAGCTTTAGTATCAGGTGAAGTAAGAGGTGCTGCTAATTCTGTATTTGGGGTAACTTCTATAATGAATAATTCTTAAAATTGCATTACAATTATTGATATATATACCTCTAGAAGATGGGTTAGTGTCTACTGGTGACAAAGGTTGCCTCTCACTGCTTTTAGAATATTTATTTACTATTTCATCAGCTAAGGCAGGGTCTGCTCCTCCACTCTCACTTCTAATGCAATTGCAGAGCATTCGTAATGTAGGAGCACCACTACTTTGATCATATTCTTTTCTTAGCCAGCATTCAAAAACCTTTCTGAGACATGTTTTTGGTGGTTTACCCTCTGCTTCAATCTCGTCCAGCTTGTTAGGACTGAGGCCAAGCATAATGCCAATGGAGTCCCAGTGTCTGGAAAGAACGCTTGCCTTTTCCCAAACCAAACGAAAATCATTGATGCCTAAACATGTACATGTAGCCTTACATGCAAAGTGTAACAATGTATAGTACTCACCAAGTTCTTTGTCAAGGATTGTTTCTGTTGTGCTCGACATTTGTAGCAGTGAAGAGAATAAAAGGCAGAAAGGAGAATTAGAAACAGAGAAAGAATACGCCCTTTCTAAATTGAGCCCCGCCCTTGCACCTGAGCCCCACCCTTACAGTTCTGCAATTATTTTAATATTTTTATTATACAATATACAAGACTATATAGCTATAATAATAATGTGCAGTTTTATATCAAAGAGAGAGTAATTTATAAAAAAACAATAAAACAATATACATAACCTAATGACTAGCATTTCTCTATTAATTCCTTTTGTGAGAAATCTCTTGTCTTAACTCTATAATAATAATAATAATAAGAAAATTATCAAGTACAGGATAAAGGATGGTTCATGCATTTACTTTCAATTGATGACTGGTAACTTAAATGCATCTCCATTAGCTCCTTATCATGTCTTGACTGTAACTCATGAACCTCTTTCTTATGAAATGACTTTAACTCTTCAACCTAGAAATGACATTAGTATGGATAACATTATAAATAAAAATGATTGTTTAGCATTAAAAATGACACTATAGTCCGTGCAGAATAAAAATTAAGAAGCATATCATAGTTGCATTTATAATAGCTTTAATAGCTAACCTGTTTATGGAAGGATTCCTCAACTACACAAAGAGCAAAAAAAAAGATAAATAGAAAGGGAGAGGAGGAGGAGGGAGGGTAGTGTATATAGTGAAGGAAG